AGACACTGCCATACAACCACCTTGCCACCACTAGACGACCCAGCCAACATCACTATAGTCTCAAATAATAAGAGGATAAAGAAAGATGAGTATTCAGATCTTTTGTATTTTCTTTCTTTACCCCCTCATGCAAATTGGTGTTAAGTTTTCCTGATGTGTTTTCTCTCGTTTAGATTTAAGTGACATCATTCTGGACAATATGTGGAAACGAATACTCGCATGGCCCCTGTTGCTGTTGATGCCCCATTTCCTCAAGGTGTGGATCGTCCCTCAACCCAGACAGAATGTTTGGGTAATCCGTGCTTGTGCACTGCAACATGACCCCCTGTGTTTATCTATGGCCTCAGCGGATGACCCCATGTCAACATGCATGGGGGGGGATCCCTTTTTCTATCAATCCATTTCCATCTGAGCTCAGGGCCCTCATGAATAACATTAATCAGAATCCTCCCCTTGTTTGTCGTCGTTGTGTTCACATTACCAACCCTCTAGTTTTATGGAGAAAATGGTCATCAAATTTGCCTGAACTAGACAAAAAGCCCACAGAATTTGAGTTACTTGGGTCTTTGATTGCCCCTTTTTGCGTTCAGTTTATTTTCAAACCTTCATATTACCCGGAGTCCTACATCTCAGTTAAGATACATAAAAAGGAGTTTCAGGCGGCCAACTGGTGCAAGTCAATCAGGCACCTGAACATACCATCAAGCAAAAATCAGATCCCCCTGAAACTCCCAAAGGGTATGTTTTTGATTTGTGGGCAGAGGGCTTGGGCAGGGGGTCCTCTCATCTAATAGGAGGTCCATATACCATCGGGCAGCTGTCCCTGTTTTCACCCAATAAGACACAAATTTTAAATTAGCAATCCAAATTAAATGATTTGGCAATCCAAAAGTGTAAGCGCAGAATCATAGAATTGGATGAACATTGTGATTCAGAAATTCAGCACTGGGCTCTTCCAGCAAGGGCTGCGGTCTCTGCCTTTTTACCATGGGTGGTTTCAGCCAAAGCACTCAGGAAATTAGGCCACCTCAAGTGCTGCGTTGCAAAACAGGCAAACTTAACTTCTACAATGCTCAGTGACCTCCTAGCAGAGAAGGAAGCAGGCATGGCATAAAATAAAACAGAGTGGCCATAGATTTTTTTTCTCTTGGCACACAGGCATGGGTGCCAAGAGTTTGGGGGATTGTGAAGCTTTAATATTACCGACTGAAGCCAAAGTGTCCACGCCTCAATCAACAAGATGAAAGATCTTATGCACGAGATGAAACAAAGTACAGGAGACTGGGTGCAAAATGTCTTTGAAGGATGGGGTCTGTCTGGAAGGGTGTTGTCTTTCGTGAAAGGTATTTGTTTGATCATTCTATTTCTTTTCTTAATTTCCATTCCTATTAGTGTCATAAAAAGATTTTTAACAAAAACATCTACTAGCCGAGGATCTTCTCCATCTCAGCAGTGGTGGGAAGTGACCCAAATTTAAAGAACCTATCATCACACCAAACATCATCACAAAAAACAAAACAAAAAAAGGGGAATTGTGGTAGTGTGTTTTGAAGATATGTTTTCTTAGGTTGTTATAGAATCTGATTCTGAATGTTTGCAGTAATTTATTGCTATGTACCCTACTTCTTTCAAAACGGTTTTAACCTCATGTTCTACCCTCCCTTCCCCTATCCATCCACTCATGTACCTACCCCCTTTTCCAGTCCCTTCCATGTCAGTCTCTGTAACCCTGCCTCTACTCCCTATCCATCATTGTAATTCCTACCCCTTTTGCTAGAACCTTCCCTATCAGTTATGTAATCCCTGAATCTGCACTGGTTGTCTCAGCATGCTCTCATCCCCTCCACCTCTCTATTGGTCTCATGCTAATGTAGTCCCACCGAATGCTCTTTCTTTAAGTTAGCTTGCTTGGTTGTTAGGCTCTCTCCCCTCTGGAGACTGCCCCCCCTTTGTAAGTCGTGGCACTCTGTGGCTCCTGGTTCTTTGCCTCTGCCTCCCTTGGAGTGTGCTACTTTGTGCCATCTGCTCTCTCCCCTCTAGGTGGGTGTGTGGAATAAAGCTACTGGGACATGCAAGCGAGAGTCCTTCCCTTCTTCTTTTGTCACAACTTGTTGGTGTGGATTGCTTTATCGGCTGCTCTAGGTGATAAGGGGTCCCGACTTGTGGCCGAACCGCTCCCCTCTGCCCTGCTGGTGGCACGAGGCGGGGAGCGGAGGGAGGAAGCACTGAAGCTGGTAGGCTGGAAGGCCTCCTACCCCGAGGGAAGGGAAGGGAAGGGAAGGGAAGGGAAGGGAAGGGAAGGGAAGGGAAGGGAAGGGAAGGGAAGGGAAGGGAAAGGGAAGGGAAGGGAAGGGAAAGGGAAGGGAAGGGAAGGGGAGGAAGGGAGGGGAGGGGAGGGGAGGGGAGGGGAGGGGAGGGGAGGGAGGGGAGGGAGGGGAGGGGAGGGGAGGGAGGGGAGGGGAGGGGAGGGGAGGGGAGGGGAGGGGAGGGGAGGGGAGGGGAGGGAAGGGAGGAAGGGGAGGGGAGGGGAGGGGAGGGGAAGGGAAGGGAAGGGAGGGAAGGGAAGGGAAGGAAGGGAAGGAAGGGAAGGGAAGGGAAGGGAAGGGAAGGGAAGGAAGGGAAGGGAAGGAAGGGAAGGGAAGGGAAGGGAAGGAGGAAGGGAAGGGAAGGGAAGGGAAGGGAAGGGAAGGAAGGGAAGGGAAGGGAAGGAAGGGGAAGGGAAGGAAGGAAGGGAAGGGAAGGGAAGGGAAGGAAGGAAGGGAAGGAAGGGAAGGGAAGGGAAGGAAGGAAGGGAAGGAAGGGAAGGGAAGGGAAGGGAAGGAAGGGAAGGAAGGGAAGGGAAGGAAGGGAAGGGAAGGGAAGAAGGAGCCTTTGGCTCTCATGGTGGACCTTGCAGACAGAATGTAGCCTTAAATTTCCTCCCTAGGGGCTTATCTTCATTTCCCCTTTCCCCTTTGGGAACCTCAGAAGAAGACCAAGTGAAATGCTTGACAGTGACTAGCACAAGAGCAGACCAGTTAGCCTACTGCTGTCTTCCAAGCCCCCTGGAGATACTGGTGCTTTCCCCCTTTCTACCCATGGAACATGCCAAGCACCATTTTCAATGAACTTTACCTCCAGAAGGGGAAATCTTCTCCAGCCCACCCTGGAGAGCCTCTCCTCTCCCATGGGGGATCTGTCAAAGCAAGGTGAGGGTGGCCAGAGCAAAGACATCTTCACCTGGGGCACGATGATTAAGAAGCATGTTTATAAAGTCCAGGAGTCAGTTAAAGGAGTTAAGTTACTTGAGTGCTTTGCAATCCTTCAGGATGAAAAATGCTGTATACATGTTGGATTTTATTATTACAGTTATAGTCAGATGTTAATCACCCCACCAGGATTTACTCAGGCATTGGTACATCTTGCTGAGTAATTGCCCCCTTCCTGACTCTTGGGTGTCTCTGCTCTGAGCTGCTTCTCATTTCTGTATTTGCTTTGGTTCTGCCGCTGCTGAGAGCACTGCATTTTCCCATCCAGCAGTGAGCGGTGGCAGAACACATCTTGCACATTCAGGTTACCTTCGCTTAAAGCACTCCATGTGCATTGGGATCAGAAAATAGATAATGAGAACATTTCACTGATAATATTCAGCTTCAGGGGATAGTAAAAGCCATCTCTTTTGCAAATTGTTGAGAGCTAATGCTGAATAAGCTAGGAAATGGTACAGTTTCATAGGTCTAATTGCAGAGTATGTGTGAAGAAAAGCTCCAAGTTCAGCAAACCAAACTGGGATCATGAAAGCAGAAATAGAGAGTGATGGAAGAAAGGCTAGATACATTTAAACTCCTGCATACAGGAATTACTGGGATGCACTGGGATCAGCTCCCACACTGGGGCAGTGGCTCTGTCTCCCCAATGTTCAGCAGATGCTTTGACTCTATTGAGACTCAGGGTTGGATATCCAGCCTCTGTGTTTTAGGGGAATTTGTTTATGTTTCCTGTCTGAACCCAACGTTTGGCATTTGTGGGATGATGAAGAGATAGAAGCCAGGAGACATGCTCTCTTACTTAGTCTAGTAAGTGAAGCCAGCTCTGTACAGCCCCAAGCATGTGCCTGGGGGATGCTCTGGGATGACCTGTTGCAGCAGTCCCTCGCTTGCTAGGTCAGAAGCACACTGTGGTGAGAAACTGGCCCCATGATCCACCTCAGTCCCTCTGCACCCTGCCTTGGCTCCAGTGGGTAACTGGTTACCTCATGGCTTTGGGAGAGAGTGACTGGCATGGGCAGGAATGCTCTTACACACTGGCAGCCTGGAGGAACCAGCTGTGTGTCCAATTTCTGGATATGGTTCAAGTGTGAGCTCAGTGCTCAGCAATGTGGAGGTAAAGGAGGTGAGGAGGGTTTGGGGTTTTGCACTGTTGACACACACCAGGCTGGCAGTCTCTGTGCCTCAAAGTCTGTGGGTCCAACTCTTCTCCAAAAAAAGATGTAGCCCCACACAGCTGAGAAGCTGAGAAGAAGGTGAAGAAGAGGCAGTGCTTTGACCTGGCTGGTTATCACACCACGCTGCACTGGGGGATGTAGGGAGGCTGTCTCCCGAGTGAGAGTGATGCTCCTGGAACGCTATAGGCTTCCTTGCAGAGGGTGCTGAGATGCTGATGCTGGAGTGCTCCCACTCTGGTGTGTTGTCCCAGAGGGGCTCTAAGGACATGGCACCCTATTCTACTAAAGCTCTGTGTAAAGCTGGAAAGGTGGTTTGATGGTGGCTGGGCTCTTGTGGAGAAGCAAACATGGGACAGCAAAGCAGCTGTGGAAGGCAGAGGCAGAGTGAGGGTCCCGCTACCCGGGGGTCCGTGCAGTGCCCCGCTGCTCCGCGGCCATCGGAGCTGCTGGGGTGCCGGCTCCCGCCGAGCCCGGCTCCGGGACCGCAGGTGGGACGCGGCTCCGGAGGGAGGTGGGCGGCTCCGGGGGTGGCGGCAGGACCCGGCTGTCACTCAGCGCGCGGTGAAAGTGACAGAGGGGCGGGGCGGCCGCGCGCCGGGCGCGTATTTAACTTGGGCGGCAGCGGCGGCGCGGCAGAGCGCGGCGGGCGGGAGGCGGCGGCGGACGGGACATCGTGACACCGGGAGACACCGGCGACGCCGAGCCGAGCCGAGCCGGGCCGGGCTGGGCTACACCGCACCGCTCCGAGCCGAGCAGGCAGCGCAGGGCGCGGAGCGAAGCCGCGGCTGGATGCGTTGACCGCGGTGGGGACGACCGGGTCCCCGTAGCAGCGGCAGCAGCAGCGGCAGCAGCATGGGTCGCCGGAGCTGCTGAGCGACGGCCGAGCCTGCCCTTGCCCGTCCCACCGAGGAGCCGCCAGGGAATCGGGACGCCCCGCCTCGCCGGTGCCGGGGACACCCTCCGGGTCCCCAGCCCCATCACGCCGAGGATGCCTCGGGGGCCCGCGGGCCGCCCCCGCCGCTTGCTATGAGGAGGAACCCGGCCGGGCCGCGGGCGCTGCCGCCGCCGCCCGCCGCCGCCTGAGCCCCGTGCCCCGGCCGTGCCCGCGCAGGGGCCGCCCGAGCGCCCCGGCGCCGTGACCCTCCTCCCGCCCCCTCGCCCGGCGCGCCCGGCTATAAAGGAGGGTTTTATTCTCGGGCTCCGGTCTCACGCCAAACCTTGTCACATCGTCTAGACGAGCTGTCGTGGGGCTCGGCCCAGCTGTCACCATGGCGATGGAGACGAGTCCGCTGTGAATTTTGGGGGGGGAGCGAGAGCGGCGGCAGAGGAGGAGGAGGAAGGCTCGGTCGCCGCCGTGCCCTGCCCTCCCCGCGGGGGAGGCTCGGACCCCCCGGCGCTGCCGACCGCGGCTGGAGCCGGCCCGGCGGGGAGCCCCGGGAGCCAGCGGCCGCGGGCGCGGGGCGAGCCTCAGATGCGGCTGTCACACAACCCTGGCCGGGCTATTTAAAGTAACGGGCCCCGCCGGACACTGGTGTCTCTGCCTATTTATGAGCCCCTGGGAGCTGGCGGGCGCCGCCGGGCAGCGCTAGGAGCCGAGGCCGCCGGGAGCAGCGCCGGGGCCCGCCCGGAGCATGACGGCGATCCGGGCGCTGCTGCTCTGCCTCTGCCTGGGGCTGCCGGCGGGCGGGCAGCCCTTCCTGCGCCTGCGACCCTCGCCCAGCGACAACCTGCCCGTCAAGGACATCGTGGAGCACCCGGACCCTGAGTACGACCCCAAGGAGCAGGACCTGGACGAGAGGACGCTGAGGAAGAAGCTGGGCAGCCATTTCGACCCCGGCTTTATGGCCGTGGCCGTGCCGGGGCCGGCCAACGCCTCGGGCGCCGCGGCGGCGGCGGGGCGGGGGCGGGCGGCGCTGCCGGCCGAGCTGCGGCGGCTGGAGCTGGGGCCGCCCCGGGGCCCGCGCCTGCGGCTGGGCAAGAAGGCGCGGCGGAAGGTGCTGCAGTGGCTGTGGGCGCACACCCACTGCCCCGTCTTCTACGCCTGGAAGGACCTGGGGGTGCGCTTCTGGCCGCGCTACATCAAGGAGGGCAACTGCCTGGCCGAGAAGTCCTGCTCGCTGCCCGAGGGCATGTTCTGCAAGCCCGTCAAGTCGGTCACCAAGACCTTCCTGCGCTGGCACTGCCAGGGCTGGTCCAGTCAGAAGTACTGCACCTGGATCCCCGTGCAGTACCCGCTCATCTCCGAGTGCAAGTGCTCCTGCTAAGCCTCCCCGGCCCCTTGCACTGCCGCCCTCCTCCTCTGGATCACTTTAGTGGGGGGGGGGAGGTTTTTCGGTTTTTTTGGTTTTTTTTTTTTTTTTAATGGGGTGGGGTTTTTTTTGGGATAATATTTTTGGGAGTATTTTTTTTTTTCCCACCCCCCAGAGCGAAGTGGGAGAAGATGAACCCCTTTGGAGTTTTGGTTTGGTTTTTTGGTTTTTTTTTTTTTTTTTTTTTTGTTAATTTTTAGGGGGTTTTTGTTCGGTTTTTTTGTTTGTTGTTGTTGTTTGATTTTTTGTTGTTAATTTTTTTTTCTCTTGGACTTCTGTTAATGTTATTTTATTCAAAACGGGGGGAAGCAAACCCAGGAACTGCAGGGCAGGCCAAAGGCACAGTAAAGCACTACAATCAGATGTCTATTTTTATACGTATATAGCCTTCTAACAAAAGGAAAATTAAAAAAAAAAAAAACTTTAAAAAAAGGAAAAAAACTACCAGCCGTGTAAATAGAGAGATTTTAAAGGAAAAGGGGGGGAAATCGCAGCTGTTTTTTATTATTATTATAATTATTATTGTTATTATTATTATTTTAAAGACATAGGACCACATTTTAAACCCATCCCCACAGAACCCAAGCACTTCCCTGCTGAAGGGAAGGGCAGAAATTTCTTGTAAAGATGCTTTTATCAAAAGGAGAAAAGGGGCAGAGGGTGTAAAAAAAGAAGAACAAGAACCACAGCATCCCCGAATGGTTGTTTCTCTGTGCTGTATTTTTTTTATCTTCTTCAGACCTTGTCACTGATGTTTGAACTAATTTGCCAAGCTCTCTAGTGCTTTTTTTTTTTTTTTTAAGTTTAGAACAATTAATTAAGAAGGAAATTTTAAAGGAAAGTACAAATCTATGAAAGAGTGGAATTGTTTTGTTGTGTGGGAATACATATAGTCGTGTAGAGATGTTAAAGGAAATTTTCTGTGTACAGTTTATTTATTTTTAACGTTTGTGTATAGGGAAAAAAAAAGCTAGAGATTATGCCAGAAACTATTGGAAATGTTTACTTGAATATTCCTTTTAAAACATATCAATGTAAATATGAGCTATCACTGATCAAAACATTTTTAGCAATAAACTCTATCTTTGAAGAAAAACCGCATGCTGCACTCCAGCTCTCTGGGAGACCAGCGGAAATTCGGATTCTTACTCAGAGCAGGTGCTGAGTAAAGGGCTTTGCCTGGGCCACGCTGTTGTAAATCACGAGATGCCCCAAAAGTCAGGACAGCTCCTCCGGTTTCTGTCTCTCCGAGATTCCGCTCTGGGATTTTTTTACGTGTACAGCTATAACCTGTTGAGGAGAGAGAAAAACACCCACGGGAGAGAAATGTCTCGTAAGGCATGAAAGAGCTGCGATGTCCCGGACTGGAGGTGTCACCTGAAGTCCTTGGGAGATTCCGCGCTCTGCGGCTCTTGGATTCGGCTTTCCCGCTGGCAGAGGAAGCGGTCGAGGTTATTGCCCCGGCCATCAAAGCGCCTGACACAACTTGGCAGCCCCGCGTGTGGCGGAACAAATGTTTTTTCTCGGCTGCCGCTAGTAGCAAAGGAGAGAAGGATGGAGACGAGCCCTGCGCCCCGATTGCTGCCGGACGGAGCCCCGGGCGCGGCATCCCTGCCCGCAGCGCGGCATCCCTGCCCGCAGCGCGGCATCCCTGCCCGCAGCGTGGCTGGGTGCGTGCGGGTCAGCGGAGCCCGCGGCGGCGTGCAGCGCCCGCGGCCCGTGCGCCGGTGCCAGCCCGGTCCCCGCACTCCCACCGGAGCTCACGGAGCCGGGGCAAGGCAGAAACGGGACGGCTCCACACGGGGGGGCTCCGACAGGCGGGCTGGGGAGGAGCCCGGCGCAGGAAAGCGAGGGCAGTGTGAGCCCGCTGCCGACGGAGATCTGTCTGTCGGTCGGTCACAGGGCTTGGAGCACGGCCCTGACAGGCTGCCAGGCCATTCCCCTGCGTGTTCTGCGTGGGCTGCTGGTGCTGGAGGGGAAGGTCTGGCCATTTCTGCTGGTGAATGAAACGTGTCTGAAACGTGCCCGAAACGTGCCTGGCATCCCTGAGGAGCAAACTGCTGCCAAAGGCCCTGGCCAGTGAGGAGATGTTCTCCCCCAAGGCAGCTGTGGAGCAGCAAGGAGACCCTGCCCCCCTCCAGCTTAGCATGCAGCACAGGAAAGCAGCACGACACCAAGCCCGTGGGAAGGCACCAGGACCCTCCAAGGGGTCTGGCTTGTATTCCTCCATCATTGTCTGAGGCCCCTGAGGTCCAGCAAGTCCTGTGAAACAGGCCTACAGAGCCTGGAGGTCACAGACTGAAACTGAAGCAGGGAGAGAGTAGTTGAGATGGGCATGGTGGGGACAAGGCAAGAGGGACAGTGACATCCCATAGCCCACATCCCTGCAGAGCCCTACAGCCAAACCCTCATCCCCATTTGAGGAGCCAGGTTGGTCTTTCCACCCATTTGTCAGTGAGGGATCAGGGAAGAGGGAGATGCAGAGGGCAGGGTGAAAAGGAAACTTCAGTGAAGACAATGTGCAAAACATCAGGGGCATTTCAGAGAAAAAGGGGAAAGCTCATTTTGCAAGAGGAACAACATCTGTGGTGTGGGGCCAAACATCTGTAGGAGGGAGCATGGGGGGAAGGCATTCTGGGAAAATATTTCTGACATAATCCCAACAGTATCTGGTGTGTTGGGATTTGGTTACAAATGGCCCTCTAACATCTTTGTGCGTTTTGTTCTGCTGGTTCCAGGGGCACACAGAGACCCCTGCTTTGTGCTAACCTGGGAAATAAACCATTCGCTGGGCTCAATGGCTGAGTTCAGTTGTGCAGGGAAGGGGGGGCTGGGAAAGAGGAAGGCGAGATTTGTGTGAACTCAGTGAAAACCAGCCTAAAAGCCTCCATGCCATGTGCTAGAGGGAGGAGGGGGGCTGCCTCCATCTCTGGGGAGAACTCAATGGTCCCGCTTGAGATGAAGGCTTGTGAAAAGCATGAGAGCTGAGAGCCAAGGTGCTCAGTGAAGGCCAGGGATGTGGAACAGAGGGCAGCCCTGTATGCCAGCTCACCTGGCTCTGCTTTGCCAACCTTCCACAGCACTGGAACACGGTCACCAGGTGCTGGTGGCACAGTGCCCTCATGCCGAGGAGCTTGGCTGCCCTGGGAGGCGGTGAGTCGGACGTGTGATGGCCAGACCACGGGCGTGATGGCTCGCCTCAACCACCGAGCCTCAAAGGAGAGTAAGACAAAGGGGAACAAGCCTGATTCTTCTGTGCGGTTATTGCATTGTCTCCCCAAGCTGCTTGTGATTAAGGGATGAGCTGCAGGGGGAAAGGGGCAGAACAGGCAGAACCAGCAGAACCCCAAGATGTGGTAGGTGCCAGCTTCTGAAAACATGGCCTTTCCCAGTGTATTCTGGGGTCGTGGCCCGGGAAAAGGGCTTGAGCACTGAGAGTGGGTGCCATCCTCTAACTCAGGTCCCTCCTGTCATTACATTGTCAAAAGCCATGCACAGCCATGGGCACTCACTGACAGGGTTGTGCACCCCCACTCCTGGGCACCCAGCTGTTCCTCCACTCACCTGGTGCTGGAAGGGGAACCGTGCCCATGCCCTGGGGAGCTGCAGTGAGCCCCCTGCTTTGCAGTGACCCTTCTCCACATTGAGTCTCCGCACTTAAGCAGAAGGTGGTTATCGGGAGGATCAGCCCTTTAACCACTTCTTCCTTCAGGCAGGGCAGAGCACACATGATGAAGGAAGTTCCACAGGACCCAATGGATGTTTTGTGCCCTGCAGGCACATGTCCCTCAGCATTATGAGAAAGCAAAGGCAGCTTTCTTCTCCACAGCCAGCGCTGGCCAGAGCTCACCTGCTCCGACACCATGTGCTGTTCAGGGGCAGCTCCCTTGGCTGGATCACAGCTGGATCTCTTCCTTGTAGTCCCTGCAAAGCCTGACTGAAGCAAAGAGCCCCTCTCTTAGGTCTGAAGAGGTCTTCTATCCTTCTGCATGTCCAGGCCCTTCTATCACTTGGTGAATTGCTTTCCCATGCATGAATCCCAGATTTACATTATCCTGATTCTCTTGGAAGAGAGAGTGAGTTCAGGATGGCTCCTGACATTTGACTTGATGGGACAAAGTCACCTTTCCATTCCTCTTTCACATCCCAGTTTGATTTTGACACCAGCAGCAGGTTAACTCTTTGTCTTATTGGCAAAGCTTATTTCATCCGCATTTTCTGCCCTGCCTTTCCCCGTTTAGCTCATGTCCCCTCAACTAAGGCCAGTGTTCAGGAATGCAGTCTCTGTCAGCATGCCAGCTCTGCCAGGGTAACTCAGATTCATGGGGCCAGAGCTCACAGATGTTCAGTGCCAGCTCTTGAGATATCTGACTCAGGCCCAGGTGATGACCTAGGCCCATCACTCATCATTCCTAGAAAGGCAGACGAATGGACTAGAGGCAGTAATTGCCTTCCTTAACCATTGAAGCCCAGGCTAAACTTTTTCTCAACATGCAGAATTGTGTTCATCTCCTCCTCCAGGCCGAGCATTTGTTGTCAATTGCCTTTGCAGCCTATGATGGCCACCAGGAGCTATCTATCAGGGAAAGCCAGTCTCTCTGCACACCCTGCTTGGTCTAGCAGCAGGTCCCTGGTGAGCTCATCCTGCTGACTGCTGCTGGTCAGGACCTCCAGCTGAGTTGGACCCACTTCCTCAGGCACCCCCAGCTCCTCATTCATCACCTCAGTGAAAATCAAGCCACACTGCTGAGGTTAATAGTGCCAGGGTGCACTGTGCTCAATGATCTCAGAGGTCTTTTCCAACCTCAGTGATCCTGTGCTGACCACATGTGTGCCCCGCAGGGTGGGCAGAGTTGGGCTCATCTCACCATCTCCTCATGGCTACTGGGTACAAGTGTGGGGGTTCTGCTTTCTCTGTGCAACACCCAGGATTCCTTTCCACTCCCATGCAGTTCTCCTTCGCTGTGTCCATGTATAGCAAACCCAACCACGTGCCCAGATTCTGCTCGGCAGAGCAGGACCCTGACCCCTCTCCATGAGGGAATGTAAGGCTTTTACTCACTGACACTCCAGAGGTGTCAGAAGGGTTGCTGGCTCATCTGCAAAAGCCGTGCATGAGCCTCCCCTCCCCCTCAGTAATTAAAACCAAGCATTAACAGCAGCAGCATCCCAAGGACATGGCTGCATGGCTGCTCTTCAGCATTAGCTGTTTGGTGTTCTGCCTAAAAGTGTCAGATCCCTGTCAAGGAGAAGGGACAGCGTCATGTGGCACTGGGAGCCCAATCAGAGAGGCAGAGCCACAGAGAGAAGCCTTGAGGCAGTGTTTGTGAACCAGCCATTGGCTAAAATTGCTCTTGCAAGAGGATGGTGAATGAATCCATTCACAGGGAAAAAAAAAAAAAAAAAAGAAAAAAAAAGGAAAAAAAAAAAAAAAGCAGGGCCTGTTTGCAAACAGCGTAACAGTCTACATATTTTACTTTTTTCGTCTGGATGAGTCTGACCCAAACCCTGAAACAAATGTGCGGGATGTGGCTATTGCAGCCATGTCCAAGCTCATCACTGAATTTCAGTGGCCTGATTCTGCCCATCTTTTTGTAGGCCTCACCATTCTTTCCAAGGAGTTTCAGTGACCTGCCCAAAGAGCCTTGGCCTTCTACTGGGCAAGCTGGAGTGGGCTCCACCAAGGGCCTGTGGACCACTGCTGGGAGATGGTAGGAGACCCTGCTCTCCAGCGTCACACTGATATACTAAAAAGGAACGCGAGTCCTCAGAAAAGCCCATGGTCTCAGCAATATGACAGAGCATGCGATGGGAAAGGCTCTTTCTTGTATATGGAAGCTGGGAGTGAAGGGTATCCAGATATGGGACATGCTCATAATCTGACTAGGTCAGCCATGCTTTGTCACCTGTGAACATGGTCCATGGAAACCAGTGATCTCCCCATCCAGGAGAATGAGAGCAAGGTACGCAGTCAAGCTCACTGACCCCCTCATTTTAAGTAGGATCTCGACCTTTCCCCAGGGGGAGTCTTGCATGCCACTAAGAGAAGCTGAGGCTTTGGAGCCAGTGCTGCCAGAGCTGCTGGGGGTCCACAGC